GATCTGCAAACATTGCTAGCCCTCACCATGAAGAGGAAAGGAGTTATTAAAGCCTTCTCTAGGACAAGGGTTGGCCATAACTGAGCCTCACACTAAGCTCTTCATCTTTTCCCCCCACCCCTGTCAAGCAAAGCATTTAATTGCAAAGCAGATTTCTGCCAGCAAAAGCTCTTTCTTGCCTTTTTTCAGCCATGCAGTGCTGTTTGAGGAGTGAGCCGTGTTTCAGCAACCTCTTCTGAGAATGCGGTGCCCTAATGGGAATGAACACTCAAGTCCTCCAAGTAATGAGGGTCCCTCCCTGCGCTCTGCACACATTTAATTGTTGTTGAGTTATGCTTCCTGTTCCTTCTCAATGCTAATGCTTTCTCCGAAATTCTCTCCCAGTGTTTCCAAAAGAACTTTCGACCCCAAAAATGTTTTTAAACTTAAGGCATTGTTATCCTCTTCCTTACTATGCTTCTCTGGCTACAGGTAATTACGTATGGATTCCCTGGTAAGACAGAAAGGCTTATGACAGAAAATAACTAAGCAGTCCTATGGCTCAGATAAAAAAATAAAAATGGGGAAGGAGGGAGTAAACAAATGCATTTCTTCAAATTCACAAAACAGGTTTATTCATCCACTTTCAGCTGCATGTCTTGCAAAAAACACAAGTGGGTTTTGGCAGGGATAAGGAAACCCAGCTCACTGCAAGAAACCTTTAACTGGAGACATCCTGTTTCTGTCAGTTGTAGGAGAATCAAGACCTTGCTGGGTCACGGCTGTCTCTGCATGCAATGTGCCCACAGCTCATGTGAAGGTACGCATCAAGCACTTCAGGTCAACACAAAATAATTAAACTGAGCAAAAGCAGCTTGCCACTCCACAGCTGAGGGTCACGTAGCTGGGGATGCTGCCAGAGGCTGTGTCCTCAGAGCTTGCCTGCATGACGAGCTTGGGCATGGGGAGGCAAACAGACTCCCTTTCCAGCTCCCCGTCAACAGGTAGGGATAATGATGACCTCCTTTCCCAAATAAGAAATTTCTCTTTTGTACAATTCTATTCTGCACAGAATAGATTCAGCTCAGGGTCCTGCCTCCAGCATCACGAGAGGCAGACACCCAGGGGAAAGCACAAGATTAAGTACAGAGGAACAGTCCCCAGCCCTTCCTCCCTGCCTCCAGCAATTACAGATCCAAACCTCCTGAGGCAGATATCCTCTTCTTGTGTTTAGTAACGTTTTGGAATTTCAACCATTAATATAAAGCTGGTCACTGAAATTGAACATTTCAAAAATACTCAGATCATCATATATTGAACAACATAGCACTACCAGAAACAAGGGCAAAAAACTTGTGAGGCAACTAAGAACTCTCTCTCTGAGGAACCAAAATGCCCCAAATTCATCAGACACTTAGCAAATTCTTGGCAGACCTGCTTTCTCCTTAGAGCTCATTTCCCAGGTTGCTCCAATACATTGACAGATTCAGTTACAAGGAACAGAAATACTAAGAAAAGTGAATTAGAATTAAAAATAAACCGTAAAAGGCAAATACTATCATATCATCCTATTTCACTTGGACATAAATAATGACATTTTAAAATAGCAATGTCAATTGCACAAGGCAAAATATGGATTTGGCGGGAGTTGGGTGGGTGGTAGTTTAAAATCCCCAAAGTGCCTCAGGACAACTCAGCACAACTCTGGACAATTCAGCACAACCAGGACAACTCTGTGGCCTGGTATTTCATAGCTGAAGTTAAGGAACATTTTGGCTAAACTAGCTCTGAAAGAAATGCACTTTAAGGATATTAATGCAATCCTTTTTCTGCCTGGCAGCACAAATTTTATTCAAGTTAGAACTGTTAGAACTTTAAGGGATGTTTCATGTTAAACAGGGCTTTACACAAGGAGACTGTAAAAACACAGCAGAATCGCAGGGTAAGGCAGGTTGGAAGGGACCTTTGGGGGTCCCTGGTCCAGACCTCATCTCAAAGCAGAGACAACTTAGATCAGATTCCTGAGGGCCTGGTCCATCTGAATTCTAAATAACTATAAGGATGAAGATCTGGATACACACCTTAGTTCCAAATGGTTATTTTTTCTGCCTGGTTCAGCCTTTAAGCAATCAGGTGCTAAGGCATTAACAGCAAGTCCATCAGGTCTATAAACAGTGGTTCTGAACTATATTCACAGTGAAGTTAATGAAAGAAGACCTCAGACAACCCTAATTGCTCCTGCAAGTTTTGTAGTATCTTTTACACTTGCTCAAGAATTACATATTCACTGTGCTGGTCAGAAAAGGGACAGTGAAGCCTCAGCTGATGATAAATCACACTGAATTACTTGTTACCTAAACACCCAGCACCTGACAGTGTCCCTTTAAGTCTCTATAAAGCCCCGCACAGTAAACAAGAAAATTCATTAACCTCTTCTCAGAGGTGAGAAACTGGTGGTGAGAAAGGCATCTCCTGGCCAGAGCTGGGTTGAGAATCAGCTTCAAATCTCACACTGATGCTTACACTGAGACCATAGTCTCAGTTACCTGGTCCAGAATTTGGGTACCACCCACCTGGAAGTCTAAATTATATCTGCACTGATTAAAAGCAGTCCAGGTTAGTTCCTGCTTTAACCATCAGTCACACTGTCATCCCTTATCTTAGTATAAATATAATGGAATATATATGAGAAAAAGAGAAGACACTTCAGTATCAAAAGAGTGCTAGCAGCAAAGAACAGAAATTTCCAAAGCAATTTTGCAATAACCTATATGACTATACTTCTATGAAAAATCCCCCCTCATCTTGCGAGGTGGTAAAAAGCCACATGTGAATTTTATCTCTTCCACACATTTACCTTCCTGTGTCCTGCCTCGTGGCCTGCAGGATTTGCACAGCCCAGATCAGCTCAGGCTGCCCTGATCTGATGAGGACGGATCAGTCTGCAGGTAGAGCTGAGGGTCTATGCTGTACAGATTGCCTACACTGTGCTGCAGAAAGCCCCGTCTGCACTCCGGAGGCTGAGACAGCAATTACAAGGGGAATGCAAGGACATCCTGTGCTTTGGATTAAAAGAGGATGGATTTCATGTGCAGCTCAAGCAAAAAAAAGAAGAGGTCTTGAGAGTCACCAATAACTTATTACATCCCTCTGAATTACATCCCCTCCAACAAAAAATAAGTAAAAGAAAGAGGAAAAAAACCCCAAACTTGCTGCTATTCTTCCAATGTGTTTATTGTACTCAGATTTCTGCGATTCCCCCTCCATCCCCCAGCAATGCTTTACAAAAGCACAGAGTTACTGCCATCGGGGCGAGTGAGCCAGCCAGGCAGGCAAATCAAACTGGCTCTGAATTAGGCTACTACCACTGTCAGTTGCAGCAGCACTGGGATGGACATTGGAGCAGGCTCCAAACTTAGGCCCATGCTGAAGGACTCTGGGCGGGTTCACATGGCTGGGTCTTCAAGATTGGACCAGATGATCCTTGAGGTCCCTTCTGACCTGACATTCTACGATTCTATGATTCATAATGGTGTGCACCTCAGCTACCTCGAGCTTCCTGTAGCACTACATTAATCTGGAAAGGAAACACCCGATTAAAAAAAAAAAAAAAAGCCATTGCTGAAAACCAGACAGAACTTTGCTGTAAAGTCAGGAGCAAAGCAAGTGACAAAAAACTCCAACCATGTGCTGAAAGAGTCACCAGAATGTCATGGAGCTGCATCCTGAAGCCATGCATAATTAAGTTTTGACAAAATTGATTTTTATGCTTAAGTGTTGCTGAGCCATAATCTCAAGAAAAACTACCAGAATTTGAAGCATGATATATAGAAGCATTTAAAATATTTTGATAGCCAAAGAATGCTTAGGTGCCCACTCAAGTTAGCACACAAACACTACACTGTCATCAGCGTGCTAAGCACCCCCATTTATTTGTTTTTTCCTTCCTCCCCCAAAAAGGCACCCTGGCACACAGAAGAGAAGACAGTGCAGAAATAACAAAACTTGTCACAGTAAAGAGATGTGTGAGAGTGAGGACTGATATAAGTATAGACTCAAAGAAAGTCAGAGATAATAGTCAGATATGAACACCAGTATCAGTACAGCACAAGACCCATCATGGGGAGTGGTCTTTTGCTCAGAAAAGGGAAGTATAAGAATACAAAATCAAAACAAATCATCAAACCAGCATCACATCTGAGCTGTCCAAAGGTTCAAGAGATTTATTATAATTGCTGCAGAAAAAAAGGGGGGAAAAAGACAAGAAGAGGAAATAAAAAGAAGATAAAAGCTTCAAGTGAATCCACCTGCTTTCCCCTGCTGGAAAACCAGCCTGCAAGCTCTTTAGAGTAGCAAACATAATTTTATTCTTTGTCTATACAATACAACAGAGGCTCAGAACACCGACAAAGTTTCAGAGGGCTGCTACATTACAAATAAATAACAATAATCCACTTAATCTCTGCTTAATGCAGCCCTGAAGGGAATGCAAGTGAGATTATCAACCGGCAGCATTTATTCAGCAGAACTTCAGTTACAGTTCACAGCCAGAAATTCATATCCCTCCCACCATAAGTGTCTGTTGGCTTCAACAGAGCAAATAAAAACTTGAAGACTTGGATCATAAACTCTTAAAGAAGTTTAGTTACAAAAGGAGGGGAAAGAAGAGCATGTTACCACGTGAGCGCTGTGAGAGACTTTGCATCAGATCCAACAAAAGCAGAAGTGGGTGGATAACAATCCAATGGCAGAGAGAAAAACAAAACCATGATTGCCACATAGCTTGGAGGACATGAGAGCTCCTGCTCCATGTGCTGCTGCTTTGCTGCAGAACAGTAGCAGAGATGGCAGATGCTGTGGAGGATGCCATCCCCGTTTCAGCTTGTCACCCACATCCCACACAAAGAAGGGCTGGGTGGGATTGCCCCGTCCCAAGGACCTGCTCAGTGTCAGGAGAATGTGACAGATGCAGATGTGCATCAAGGGAGAGAGTAAATACATCACACCAAAGCCACACTTACAGTGACCAGTTTTTCAGAAGACACATTCACTCCTTTCACATCTTCTTCTTCTGGCTCTTCATTTTCTTTATTGTCAGTGCAAGAGACAGAGGCTGGGACTGAGCAAGTGCTAAGCAAGTCTGGCAAACTGGTAGATGGGTACTTCAGAAAATCCCCTTCAGCAGATTCCTACCCAAGAGACAACAAAATATGACAACATCAAGATGACAACATCACATGCAGAAAACCACCACAGTCATGGTGAGACTGCTCCGTTTCACCTGCCTAGTGAGAGCTCCCTGGTAATCCTCCCCTTGTTACACACCTCCATGTGCTCAAACTTTAATGGTCCAGTTGTAAAAAGCAGATCTGGTCTTAAAGTGCATATATAGTAAACACAGGCCAATATACATCTAAAACATTTAGATTTCATAAAGGAGAATTTAAAATAAACGCTTCCCCAGCAGTCTGCTCCTCCCCACTTTGGGTTTATTAAATGTCACTGTGAGCAGACTCAAGAGTTTACAGACCTCATTACTCATTTCATTGCATCCCAAATCACACTCTGTGCTTCAGCTACCTCCCTACGGATTTTCCCTTCACACATTTATCTATCTGCACACATAAGAAAAATACACCAACAACCTCAGGTAGGAGAACAAAATGAAAACTGACCCACTGATCCTCTACCAGCTCAGTCCTGATGCTTCAGGATCTGTTTCTAGTTTTGGCACCTTTTCTGGGACAAAATATGTGCATCAGCCAAAAGCAATGGCCAGACAGACTCTCGTTTTATTGCTTTCAGAACAAATCCTGTGTTCAAGAGCATTCACCAGGCCAAACTGCAAGGCTGCTTTCCCACACCAACAAGTAACGCCCAGAGGGAGCTGCTGGGGAACACTTCACCTATTTACACCTTTTCTGAGACTGCCTGAAACATGGCATAGGCTGGATTCTCCACCACTTGCCTTTCCAAGTCCTCCTCCCACAGACATGAAAACTGTCCAAGTGCACAGAGCACAGGCCAAACAAATTCACAGCCTGACTGATCAGGAACATGAAGTTTTATGCTGCAAGCTTCTTCGCAATGATTATTTTGATGCAGTCATCACATGACCAAGCAAAAAATTTTAAGGATAAATTTATGCAGTCTACCACCTTGTGTTTTGGCAGAGAGTCCAAATGTCTAAAGGAAATACAAAATGTACCTACTTCGGGTCAAGGTATGTTGCTTCCAGAATAAACACCAGTGAGGTTAATAGCAAGCTGTAAGCCAACAGAAGGTCTTCAATGAACCTCACTGTCTAACTGAAACGTTAGAGAAGTTACAGGCTCTTCACTTTGAATATGGTGGGATAGAGCCTCTTATTGAAAAACATAAGCATAAAGCATCCCAGGAAGCCATAAAAGCACCCAGGCATTAAACCCACAGACACCTTCATCAGGTTGGCTGGGGCAACCTGAAGATGAAGATAACAAAGATTTTAAATATACTGACACAGTGGCTTGCTGACAATTCATGCTCCACCTGGAAATGCAGGTCTACAAACAGTCCCTTTGGTCCAAGACATTCCTGCCACCACCCCAAAGGCTGCAATGCCCCCTCCTTCAGGCAGGTCCTTCTCTGAGACCCCGGGCACTTTCAGGAGCCTGTTATCTCTCCACCAAACAGCTGCATCAATCTAAGCTGGGAAGCAGCAGGCTGTGGATGAGGGAGGAGAGCAAACAAGGGTGGGCAGGATTTTCTTAAACAAAGGACAAAATATTGTGTAATATCCTCTCAACCTCTCCTGTGATGAAAGCAGAATGAAGAGGCTGACTGATAAATGAGTTCCACTCTCATTTCCCTGAAATTTCATGCTCCTTTATCTGCAAGAGCTCCACTCCAAGCTATTAATAAGGACAAAATAAGGAACTCAAGCCAAGAGATCATCATCAAGAGACCTCAGGCACACAGATAGGACAAAAGATGGGAGCTACGGAGGCTACACAGATAGGAAGCAGAAGAGGCTGAGAACAGTCAGTGTATATTTTAAGAGAATGGTTTTGGCCAAAACTTAAGTAACATCTGCATGAATAAATACAGACTAATTTGCACACTGAACGACAGTGATAATACAAGCAAATCATTAAGTTGGTCTATACCCTGCTGATTTGCCACAGATTTATGGCATCTAATGATGTATTTCCCATAGCTATGCATTAAATTTAGGGAAGAACATGTGATTCTCTATCAGAAAAACGCTCTTTCCACGAAGCATCTGCACAAACTTGAGGATGTACGTTCAGGAGACCACCAAGGAGAGGACTGTACCTTGCTAGCGACCACCAGCTGCACCAGGCCAGCGGCCGAGCGAAGAAGAGCCACGGCATCCTGGTGGGAGAGCCCAACCAGCGACTGCCCGTTGATCATGAGGAGCTCATCGCCCACTGTCAGCCTGCCGTCCCTGCAGAAACAAGCGGGAACATGGAGCTGCAGGGTAGTCCTTCCCTGGTGCCAGGCTCTGGTGGCACGTGGTGGGACAGGGAGGCACAGACAACAAGTGATCTGTCTGATGCTAAGCTTGCATCCATTGGTCCAGTGTTATTTCCCCAAAAAGTGGCTCAGAAAGGTGCCCCAGGAAATCATTGTTATAACCAGAGTCATTTCACCATCTTTGCAGGGCTGGGACCCCTCAAACCTTCTCCATGCCCTCAGTGAGCTCCATCTCCCACCCACACTGGCAGTGAGCACCCTGGATTGCATGACTCTCACTCACCCACTGCTGATCCCATGGGAAAGGCCCATCTTCCAAAAAAGGGACTTGGGAAAAAGGCCCCACAAGCCATCAGGCTCCTTGGTTTACGCTCCATCACCAAGCAAATGTTTGATCTGTCTATAGTTTAGACTAAACATGCTGGAAAATGCTTTGTGACCAATCACAAAAACAACTTTTTAAGCTAAAGTGCCATATTCCTACTCTCACACAACTGGAGGGCACAAACCCCACACCTGTCTCATGATTCTGCCTAACAGCAATGGCCATGGATGCTCTATCACACCTACTCCCACGAAGGCACTGCTGTTGTCTCACCTGTGTGCAGAGCCACCTTCCTCCACGTGAGTGATGATGATGCTGTAAGGGGATCGCTTCGACCCTCTGCCTCCCGTTATCTGGATTCCCAGCCCATCCGTCCCCTTCAGGATGTGCATCTTCCATATGCGGCAACCTTCTCGCTGAGAGAAAATGTGCAGAGAGTCCTTGAATTTGGATTTGGACACAGAGAGGGCTGCGAGGGTACAGGAGCGAGCTATTTAGCACCTTGCTGCCCATCACCACACATCTGTATAGCTCAAGCCATATGGGTGTTTTTGATGAGCTTTGCTGTGTTAGCTGTGGTCCAAGCGAAGGAGGCAGAAAGGAGGAGGCAGCACAGAGCAGGGTCAGCACGTAGAAGCTTCCTTGAAGCGCTGTTTGAAGCTTTTCTGAGGCACACAGAGGTGCTGCTCACAATGCCCTGACCATTCCCGAAGCAACCAGTAGCCTCAAACCTGTTCGCCAAAACTCAAGGGTGAGATGTGCAGGGCTGCAGAGGAGCAAGACATTGTTCAAGGGGGACCTTGAACACTGGGTAGCACAGCTACTATTGCAGCAAGGACCAGACTGGCATCACACAGTAGCGTTTCCCTCTCCAGAGAGGTTTGCAGGATTTGAGACACAGGAGAGAAAATACAGCTTCAAATTATCAGCTGTCAACCAAATATTTCTTATTGGACAGCTGTTGTACAGACTGTAAATAATAAATTTACTCACCGCAGAAAATAACTTTTCAGTATAAGCAAGGCAATAAGCTATGTTTAGGAAACCTTTATTATTATTTTTTAATTATTATAAATATTTATCGAAAAACTGCTTTACAAACTCCAGAGCAATACAGAAATGCAAAACAAAAACTAGTTCCCATGGCAGGACTGGGCACAAGAAAACATAAGTGGCAGTTATGAGCAGAGCAAGAGAGGAAAGAGAAAAACAAGCAAGCAAGACACGTAAAGGCAATTGTCAGGAGAGGGGAAGAACCAGGATAACACAATTATGAGAAACCCTAGGAAGTTTTCAGGCTTGCAAGACAGCAAAATGCACAATTTAAAGGCAATTTTTAGGCCACGTGTTGTAGTCACCAGGCTCCAGGTCAGCTATTTCTGACTGAGTCTGTTCTGCACACAAGTAACACTCTCGCAGTACGCAAACGCCCAAGTAGCAAAGATGATTAAAATTTCATTCCAAACTGTGAAGAGCATGTAGAAATTGCTGCTTGTTTCTGAGAAGGGAAACTGCTAAATATATCGGCAAACCCAAGGGCTGTGGCAGCAACCTGCAGATTTTAGGCCAACATTGTTTATCAGAGCTTTTATTAAGTGAAGAAAATGTGCTTTTTTTACCTGTTCACTGGAACCCTATGCTGAAACTTTTAAATACAATGCAAGATTAATTTTTCAGATACAGGCACAAAGAGGTCAGTATCTACACCAGTATCTTAGGAACAAAGTGAAAAATAATAACAATGATGTTACACAGCCCCTAGACCACAGTTAGGAGAAACAGGAAAAACAAACCAGGTGTCTTAAGAGGTAACCCAGAGTTTGAGCCTGAAAAGATACGCACTTGTGGGTAGTTTGTTAACTTGAAAGTCATGCACATAGGCAATATCTCAACAGGTTTAACTGGGATCTTCAGTGCATGGATAAAAGCCCATCTCCTGCTGAATAACACAGGAAGTGTCAGGACACAGAATACTTTGAGATAAATTAGAGTGATACATGAGACACCCTGTTAAATGCAGGGGCAAGAGTCAACTATATTTATCTACTTAAAAAACAGAACTGATCTACAGCATGAAAATGCTCCAGAGGGGTTTTATTGCTATAAAGTACCTTGCACCCAAAATGAAAACAGTATAACAGAGAAATACAATCTCTCTGTCTCCCCCAGCCAAGCCCACGCTGAAACAATGACCATCTATTCTCCTCAGAAGATGCCACTCCAAGTGTCCCATTGTTAAATCTAGTTTGGAAGCAGATCCTCCAATAAAGTTTAACAATGAAGTCATAAAATTGCTTTTAATGATTTGCATAAGTTTTTTGGAATGTGAGTTATGCAAAGGCCCACAACATGCAGTGCCTAGCTTGCACTCCTCAGCACTCCTTACTATCACATATCTTATTAAAAAAAAAAATCCCAGATTTATTCTTAATTGACCTACTCTTAAATATTCATTTACATAGCAAAACGCTCAATAGCAGCAAAAGGCAAGACTCCACTGCTCCTAATGCAAGTGACATCTTATTCCCCTTGAACTCCCCCTGAAATCAAAAGCTTGCAAAATAAAGCATTACTCAGTCCGAACATGGACAAGCAGAATGCACCACAATAACGACAACGAAACCACCTGGCACATACCCAAATACACATTTCTTTCACTCATTTTCAAATGACACAGTCACCATCTCCTGTGTAAGAAAAAGCTTTCCCTGGAGTCCCCAGTGGTCATCTGCATGCATTTCACTGGGAATGAACAAAGCAGTGTTGACTGGAAATCAGATCCCCTCACTGTTCTTTCCCTCTTCTTCATAAAACATTCATAGCTCTTCATTTAACCACATGCTACAAAGCAAATGCCCCCGCTCCCCAATATACATACACCTCCAAGGTACATCACTCCAAGATTTTGAAAGCTAAGTATTAAAAAGAAGATTGCTAGCCTTTGCTTGAGGCCTCTTGGAGAAAGGGGGTGTTCAGAATCCCCTTCACCTCCCCACAAAGCAGGTGTCTGCTTTGCACAGAGCAGCATGGGACACTTCACAACCAGCTAGGAAATACTGCTGCTTTGAATGTACATTTTATGTGACTCCTTCACAGGAAAGCCTTCATAATAAAGCTCTGTGCCAATTCCAAGAATTTGTAAATGCATTTAAATTTTACTTTAAACTAGTTTTCTTGAGTTATTGGAGATTCCCAGGTTCAACAACACAAAGTCTAAGTGCTTTAAAAAAAGAAAAAAAGCAGTGAAGCATGTCTTTGATTTTCAAATTTTTTAAAGGATTTCCAACCTTTCCTTCATAAACAAAAAGGCTACAAGCTCAGTCTTTAAATGAAAGATAGGATTCTGGTGTATTCACTCCAGAGACTTACAATTCCCAAGGGAAACTCCAAGCATAGTTAGATTTGGCAGTTTGCAGGTCTGATGTCACTGTCCTTGGAGCTTGCATAATCCCTGCCCAGAGGAGGACAAGTTGTAACTGCTGACCGGTCTCCTCTGATCAGGTGCATAATTCTGGTTGCTGCTTCGTCATTTTCGGTTTCATATTCTTATTAACATCTGAACTTTTCCATTCTCTCAGAATAATTTTCATAACTTCATTTATAAATGACTCAGATTAATGCCCCCAGCTTTGTTCACAAGTGACACAATAAATCTGCACACATACACCCACAACTCTCAATGCAAAAGCATTTCATGCCTAAAGCACAGAGATGTGCTGACACCAGTCCAAACAGGTATCTCGAACTCCAGACATCTTCAGCTAGGACAGACAGTGAGGCACTACGAGCTCCTGTTGCTGCCAGGGAACACGCGATACCCAGCTCTGGTCACTTTTAAGAATAAAGAGACCAAAGGCAGCTCACAATAACAAAGCTAAACACTTGAGAACCCAAGTGGAAAGGAATCACTAGATAACATTGGCTGAATACCTGATATGGCAGTTCAGAAAATTTCATGCAATTCACCTGAGATTCAGCCAAGATGGACACTCAGAAAGACATCCATGCTTGCTTTGCGAGTGTCAAAGGAGTTGGAAGCCAGATTTTCCCTTTAGAGATTTGTTCCCTATCTCCTGGGAGCAAATGTTAACTCTGCCCAGATCCAACTCATGGACTTTGCTTGTAAATCTGCAGCTGCCGCAGACCTGCCTACACAGAGGGACCATGGATTTCTCTCGATGGAAGGGTTTCATGGGCATGAAGGACCAACATTTGACAAAGATAGTCTCAGAGGAGGCGATGAGACTGGGTCAACTCTTGAAGTCTCTTCCAGATCTACATTTTTTTAAACTTCTCTCACATAGCAAGCAAAACCACAAATGGCCAAGTCAGGCTGCAGTTGGGCTAATGGCTGATTTTTGTTCTCTGCAGTTACATCATTCTTCAGCGACTCAACTTACCTCCTAACTTGGCTCTTTCAAGCAGGCAGCCCTTTGGACCAGATTTTTCCACTTGAAGCTGATCAACTTCAAAGTGCCTAAGCTACAAATAATTAAAACTTTTAAAAAGACAATATGAATATTCTACTTGGATTAATCGCAAGTGAAAAAAATAGGTCATCTTATGTAACAGACCGCAAGTGAGAATAGAGAATACAGCTGGCAACTTCTAGTGGGTCCCCGCAGGCCATCTTTCTCCACCGTGAAGCCATTGTACATCAGGCAGCCTCTCTTCAGAGCTAGCCTACATCTGGAATAAACTAGTGTGCTACAGATCAGAAAGGAAGCACGCTGCCAGCACAACGTGGGGAAGCTCGCCTTCTGCCTGCTCCAAGTGCATACCATCAAACGCTTGATTTCATAAGCACATCATTAATAAAACAAAAAGGAACGTTTTTCCTCTGAGTGTTGAGGAAAATAAATAAATAAAAGACATCGGAGCCATTCTTTCCCCTTTTCTTTCACCAGCTAATTGCAGGGGAGTTTAAAGGGGTTTGACTGTGCCGTGTTCAAGAAGCTGCAAATCTATATATACAAAGGAAAAATTGCTTTGAAATCTTGTATTAAAGAAAAGCTTGGCAGGAGCAAGGTGTAAACAAATGGAAAACAGAAACACAGTAAGTAGTTAAAAAGCCAGACTGTAAAATGGAAAATGTAAAATAGTTGTCTACAAAAAAGCACTTTCTGTCACAGCAGCAATTCAGCAGAACCTGTTGTAAATATGTAACAATATTAAAATAAAAACAGAGATAAAACCTGATGAGAATACCAATAACCGTGCAAGGTCTGTATGCACACACTGACTGCCATGGGCCCTAACACAGCCCACGGCATGTCTCCTTCCTCCCGCATTTCAACGTGGATTTTTACGGTCTGTCTTCAGGGACCGGTTCCCACTTACAAACTTTACAGGTTTTCCCTGTAGGAGCAGCAGAAGCAAACAGTGAACTCTTCCTCACCGGCCACAAAGCTGCTTT